ACTTTGTTGTCCTTGGTAGGAGTGCCATAGCATCACAGCTCATAGCAACCTCAAACTCTTGGGCTTAAGTGATTCTCTCTTTTTTTTTTTTTTTTTCTTTGAGACAGAGACTTATTATGTCGCCCTCGGTAGAGTGTTATGGTGTCACAGCTATCAGCAACTTCAAACTTCTAGGCTTAAGTGATTCTCTTGCCTCAGCCTCCTAAGTAGCTGGGACTACAGGTGCCCACCACAATGCCCAGCTATCTTTTGTTGCAGTTGTCATTTTTGTTTAGCTGGCTGGGGCCGGATTTGAACTTGCCAGCCTTGGTGTACGTGGCTGGTACCATAACCACTATGCTACGGGTGCTGAGCCTTAAGTGATTCTCTTGTCTCAGCCCCGAGTAGCTGGGACTATAGGCACCCACCACGATGCCCAGCTATTTTTAGAGGCAGGGTCTCACTTTTTCTCAGGCTAGTCTCAAACCCGTGAGCTTAAGCAATCCACTTGCCTTGGCCTCCCAGAGTGCTAGGATTACAGGTGTGAGCCACCATGCTTGGTCTGAGACTCTCTAATTTTTATAACATAGCTTTGTAAAAGAGTTTTTGTTTATTAAATCTACCTTGTTCTTTTCTTTTTCTTTCTTTCTTTTTTTTTTTTTACAGTTTTTGGCTGGGGCTGGGTTTAAACCCGCCACCTCTGGCATATGGGGCTGGCACTCTACTCCTATGAGTGACAGGCACCACCCAAAACTCTGCCTTGTTCTTAAGATCCTTTTTTAAAAGGAAGGGGACTTAGAATTTGTGCTGGTTTTACTATGTGGCAGGACTTATATAAGATATCTTAATTATTAAGCATACTCATGACAAGAACCCTGCAAGAAGTATTATGGCCCTGTTTTATGAATGAGAGAACTGAGGCTGGCAGAGGCTATGCAGTAAGATAATGAAACAAGGAAAGGCGTCACAGTAAAACCTGGCTTAAATCCTCAGAGGGCAACTTATTTGATCTGTGACCACATAAAAGATACTGAATATTTTGGAGCCTCAGTTCATCTGTAACATGAAGGTCATAATACCTACTTCATAAGTTTGTTTTGGGGACTGGAAATCATTTATATCAAGTGCTTAGTGCCTTGCCCATAGTACAGGGGTCCTCAAACTTTTTAAACAGGGGGCCAGTTCACTGTCCCTCAGACTGTTGGAAGGCCAGACTGCGGGCCCTGGGACAAGTCAGCTGCTAAGCAGGACAGGCAGCGGCAGCAAAAACACCTGGCAGGCCGGATAAATGTACTCAGCAGGCTGCATGTGGCCCGCAGGCCGTAGTTTGAGGATGCCTGCCATAGGACATGCTTTAGAAATGACCATTGCTATAATCATGATGGCCTGAGATCCTACGTGCGAGGGCTAGAACTTCGTCTGCTTTCTGTGGCTCCCAAACCCTGTATTTTTCTACCCCATCATCTTTTCCCCCATATGTATGCCACTTAAACTGGAATGTCCAAAGCTTGTGAGATATACAGCAGGACCCCAGTGGGGGAAGCCACAGACTAGTTGAACATATTTTCCTGCATTGTAACACACAGTTTTCTCAGGGATACTTGTGCTACATGAAAACAAACACACATGGTTTGCAGGTTTGACTAGAATTTTGAGTATAAATGGGAGACCTCTACAAGGATTTCTTGCAGGGGCTACTTTGGATTTTACCTCTAGGCTTCCTCACTATGGCAGTCTTCAGAGCGAGATTTTGGAGGAAAACCTGAGAAGCATCCCTCCTTGCCACCATGAGATCTTTTGAAACTTCACCTTGAACTTTTTGTTTCTGATCTGACCAAAAATGCAGAGTTCAAAACATCGCATAGCTTTAGTTTGAATCCCAGAGGTGTTTGCTAGCATTTTGGAGGCTTGGCCTTACCTGTGTCTCTGATTAGCTGCATGACCCTACTCTCTTCATTTCCTCTTTGGGAAGAAAAGGGGCAGGCTGAGTCTTCACAGGGTGGACCAACAGCCACTTGATTCTTGCCTTGATTCCCCAGGACTCTGCCTGCCCTGGTGTGGCATCGACAGGACTGGACCATTCTTCATTCCAATGTGCACCTCAGCGCAGACGAGTTGGAAGCCCTGCAGATGTGCACAGGTAGACGAGAGGATCCAAGGGGAGGAAGTGTTCTGCTTTAAGAGGGGGTTGTGTGCATCCCTGAGGACAGTAGTGATCCTTTATTATTTCTTTGGCATTATAATTTTTTCACCCTTTATAAACTTTTTTTGGTCAGGCATGTTGGCTCATGCCTGTAATCTGGGCACTCTGGGAGGCCGAGGCAGGTGGATTGCCTGAGCTCTGCAGTTAGAGACCAGCCTGAGTACGAGCAAGACCCCATCTCTACTAAAAATGGAAAAATAGGCCAGGCACAGTGGCTTACACCTGTAATCTGAACACTATGGGAGGCTGAGGCCGGTGGGTTGCTTGAGCTCACAGTTCAAGACCAGCCAGAGTCCGAGCGAGATCCACCTCTAAAAATAGCCAGGCATTGTAGCTAGTGTCTGTAGTCCCAGCTACTTGGGAGGCTGAGGCAAGAGAATCACTTGAGCTCAAGAGTTAGAGGTTGCTATGAGATACAATGTCATGACACTCTGCTGAGGGTGACAAAGTGAGAATCTGTCTCAAAAAAAAAAAAAAAGAAAGAAAGAAAGAAAAGAAGAAATAGCTGGGTGTTGTGTCAGGCACCCATAGTCTCAGGTATTTGGGAGGCTGAAACAAGGAGATTGATCACCTGAGCCAAGAGCTTAAGGTTACTGTGACCTGTGACGCTATAGCATTCTACCCAGGGTAACGGTGTGGTGTTCTGTCTCTAAAAAAGAAACTTAAAAAAAACACTAAACTGTGGGTGGCACCTGTGGCTTAGTGAGTAGGGCGCTGGCCCCATATACTGAGGATGACGGGTTTGAACCCTGCCTTGGACAAACTGCAACAAAAAAATAGCTGGCATTGTGGCGGGCACCGATAGTCCCAGCTGCTCAGGAGGCTGAGGCAGGAGAACTGCCAAAGCCGGAGAGCTGGAAGTTGCTGTGAGATGTGATGTCACAGCACTCTACCAAGGGTGACAAAGTGAGACTCTGTCTCTTAAAAAAAAAAGTAAATTGGGTGGTGCCTGTGGTTCAAAGGAGTAGGGCACCAACCCCCTATGCCAGAGGTGGTGGGTTCAAATCCAGCCCCAGCCAAAAACAAAAGTAAATTGTGAGGAACACACATGATATAAAACTTTACCTTAAATTAAATTTGTTTTTTTAATTTTAGAGACAGAGTCAAGCTCTATGGCCCAGGCTGGAGTGCAGTGGTGTGATCACAGCTCACTGTAGTCTCACACTCCTGGGCTGATGTGAGCCTCATTCTCCTCAGTAGCTAGGACTATAGGTATATGTCACTACACTCAGCTAATCTTTAAATTTGAGGTAGAGATGGAGTCTCCCTATGTTGCACAGGCTGGTCTTGAACTACAGAGTTCAAGTAATCCCTTGCCTTGGCCTCCCAAAATGCTGGGATTACAGGCCTGAGCCACCATGCCTATCATCTTAACCATGTTTAATTAAGTGTATAGTCAGTGGCATTAAGTACCTTTATGTGCAACTATCACCAAAATGCAACCTTTCTTTAGTTTATAAAGTTCTAATCTTAAAAGTTCCTTACCAGTGATTTGATTTTGCATATTTAGACTTTGATCATTTCCATATTTTTTCTCAAAGGAAAATTACAATTATTTTGAAATAATGTTGCCTAGTAATTATTGGGCAACATTAGGTTTCTGAACATAGGTTTCTGGCAATAATTTAATAATATATTATGGCCCACAAAGTGAGATTCTGT